GGCGGAGGTCCGGGACGCGAACCGCGGTCGACCACGTGGGAGTCCAGCGACATAGCCATTATACAACTGCTGGTTCCCTGGGTCCAACTCTGTTAACCACAGGTCACAGGGCCAGCTCAACCTCACATTGCACTTATCGGCCTGGCCTCTGGTGCTGTTGGTAGTTTGTGGGACTGGAGTGCGGGAAGCCACGTGGTCATGTGTTCGGATCCCTGGTCCAGTCAAAACGAAAGTGGGTTGGACTACACCCCGCCCTTGGAAGTCAATCCCTCCCCTGGCTACCAAGACGCGCTGCTGGTCTACACAGCTGGCCTCTCCAGCATCGCCCCTCCTGCCTGCAAATCCTTACAAGCAACGCCATTTCTCCAGGTGCTCCTGTGCAGCTCTCGAAGCTGGGGCCCTGGGCAGGCGCCCCGTGTGATGAGACCCACATGCCCAGTGATGGTCCTGAACCTTAGACCAGGGTGTCAGGAACCTCTGCTCGCCCGAGACCCGCCTCACCCCACCTCGCCCTTCTGCCACAACAGAAGCTGTGGTCGCTCTGGCTTCCGCTCCTGGGTTCCGGGGAAACCTTAACGACACAAACCCATTTCTCAGGACCAAGACCTTGACTCTCTCGCCCCCCACAAAAGGCCAGGAATAGAGTGCAATTTGGGTTCTTTTTCCTTTGCTATGTAGAGGGCAGGAGCACTGGGCAGGGCTGGGGGAGAGAGTGCACTCCCTGGGGGTGGGCACTCCCATTCCTTCTCTAGTCTCGAGATTTTGAGCACGCACATGCCCAGCGTGGCTTTCATGGCACCAGGGCCACAGAGGATGCAGCCTGTACCTCCACGCCACCAGCTGGCCCCGGAAGTGTGATTTAGGTTTTTCTGGGGAAAATGAAGGCGCAAGATCAGAAATCTTTAGAAGTGTTTACTTGGGGTGTGGCTGGTCTGCGCCACCCTATGAACCAAGTTGGGCTCTTAGAGGGACCAGGAAGGACTAGGGGTGCTTGAAGGGTCTTGGGAAAGAGGACAGGGTTAGGGCTGCTTTGGGAAAGGACAATGGGGGGGCACAGGGGCGGGGCGGGCGCTCGCCAGGTGGAGGGCTGTCTGTGACAGTGAGATAGCGGGAGAGAGGGCACAGGGATGGGGACGAGGGCAGGACCGAGCCTCTAGGTGACCCGAGCAGAGTGACATGTACAAGCTGAGCCTTCTCGACCTGGGGGCCTAATCTTTGGAAGGGTACATGATCCTTCTCACGTTGCTGGGATGGGCTAAGGGGGCTGCAGAGGGTGTGGGGCTCTCAGGCCCCAGGAAAGGTTCTACAAGGACCTGAGGGAACAAAGGCCAGGTTCCCCCACTCCCCAAGGTCCAAGGAGGACACGGAGCCTGCTGCAAAACCTTTTGCTACAGCCCCGCCCTGCCTGGTCCTGCATGGGCCACCGCCTTGACAGAACAGCGTCCAGGACACTTCACTGTCCTGGGTCTGGACACTGGACCAGGAGACTGTCCACCAAACCGGAAAGGAAGACTGCCCGGTGAGCGGCGGTCCAAGGATCCCCGAGCACCCTAGCTTTGGCTGAAACCTCAGGCACAGAGAAAGCCCAGGGGGCCAGGACTAGGGCTATGGCCCTGAAGACAGGGGTGTTAAGTCTTTGTCACAAATATGTTTTCTCAGTTCCACAAAACAATCTGCAAAGCTTCAAGTGCTGCCCCCAGGAGGCAGGCAGAACCCCACCAGACCCGCCCTGTCTGCTCCTTAACCAGCAAGCACTTTGCCGCCCCTGGGCTCTGCGCTCTGCGCCGGCGGGCGCTCCTCTCCGACGGCTATGGCTCACACATCCTGCCTTGTGGACCGCCCGACTGCTCTGAGCACACGCTCCTGGCCGGCCTGGCGCCACTTGGCATCCTCGCTGGGACTGGGATCGGGACCTGGACCGGGATCGCAGCCGGGAGAGCAGCGCTGCGAGGTCCTGCTCGCTCTGCCCTCTGGCCACTCAGCCCAGCGGAACACCAAGCTAAGCTCTGCGTCCAGGTCGGATTTGAGACCATGTTCAAGAGTCTAGGCCCCTCTTTCAAACTCCAGTCATTCGGGCGTGAAGACCCGGGGGCCCCAGCGCCGGGAATGAAGGCGCCAGGCGTCCAGTGTCCCCAGGCCTGTTTATTTGGTCTCTCGCACTCAGGCCTGCATCACCGGCCGCGACTTCTCAGCCTGCAGCTTCACTCCGGAGCCCGCGAAGCCCGTGCCACCCTGCAGAAAGGGGTGAACAGAGCGGGCAGAGGGGTCAGGGCGGCTGGCCCCAGGCTGGTCTAGGTGATGGGGGGGCCCTTTTCCAGGGGTGGGCAGCGGCTCACCCTCTGCAGCACGATGATGTCGCGCTCGGTGAGCTTGGTTCCGTTCACCGGGTCCACCATGTCCTTCCGGATCAGCTTCTCCACGCACTCCAGGGTGACCACGGCCCCACTGCGGAAACAGTGAGATGACGGGTGGGGGTGCCGCCTGGAGGCCCCTGGGAGCGCCCGCCGCCTCCTGGTCCCCGGGGGCCTCACGAGGGCCGCAGCACGGCGCAGGGCGTGGCGTTGCTCAGGCTGTCACGGGTCACGGCGCACACGTAGCGCTCGCTGCGCGTGATGAGGCCCACGCGGTCCACGGAGCCGTCGAGCAGCGTGAAGCGCACGGGCGTCAGGTCGGACATGCGCAGCGGCTTCCCGGACATCGGGCAGGTGACGATGCGTGACTACGGGGGAGGTGGGCAGAGGGTGCAGGGCTGGAGGAGGTCCCTGTGGGGGGGCAGGGGACCCGGGACCCTCTGGCAAAGTGGGTGCGGCCGCGGTGGGGCTCACCGGCTTCTCTAGCTTGGTTGCTTTGGCCTCGGGAGTCAGCGACGGGATCCAGAAGCTGGGCAGCACTTTGTCCTTGCCCGGGGGCCCTGTGCTGGGCCCAGCCTGGGCTTCGTCTGTAGGGAAGAGGGGCTTGGAGGCCGACCCAGGAAGCACGCGTGCCCTGCGGCCCAACCACTGTAAGCCCGATCCCTGTCACCTGGGCTGGTCCCCGGGACCGCCTTGGACGTGAATGGGTTGAGCGGCCGGCTCACAATGGCCGCCTCCTTCTCCAGGAAGCCCCGCACCTGGTCCTGCGCCGCCGCCTTCTGCAGTTCCTTCTGCTCCTCGCGCCGAGCACCCCGCTGCTTCTCATAGGCCTGCGGGGAGGCGTGGGCCAAGGCGACCACAATGGGGCAGGGAGGGGTAGGTCTATGCATCTCACAAGTGGGGAAACTGAGGCCCCTACCGGGAACCCTGTGGCAGAAGTGGTGCCTACCTAGCTGTGAGGCCTTACATCTGTCATGTCACCCAGTTCCTGTCTCCACAGGGTCACTGCCCCCTTAAGCCACTTTGGGACTGGGTGTCACCTTTGTTCTTGGCAGCAGTGGCTGGAGCCAGCATGTCAGGGCTCCAGCCCAGCTCTGTCCCCTCTGAGGCCTGCAGGGAGCACTGCAGCCACTCCCTCTCCCGTTGGTAAAATGGGCTGGGGTGGCAAGCCCAGCTCAGCTAAGCGGCTCACTCACCGGGAGGCTCCCACCAGATGAGCTGGGTTGGTTTGTTTATTTTTTAATTTGGTATGGGGTTCTGCACTTGAGACAGAGAACGAGAAAAGCACCCCCAGGAGGATGGCCACACCACAATCCCCTCTCAGGATTTTGGGACTGTATGCACATGTGCCTGGTGTGATTTTTAAGCCAATGGGTCTGGGACTTGAGCTACGCAGTCAGCCATGTGGGAACCAACACCTTAACTTCCATGCCACCAATTGGCTCCCAGCTGAGTTTTCATTATTATATTAATATTTTTAAGGGAGTTTTTTGCTACAGGGCACATTTGCTCGCCAGACAGAGACAGAAAGCGAGAAATGACCCCCCAGGGGGATGGCCACGCTGCACTCCCTACCTCCATTCTCCTCTCAGGGTCTTGGGCACTTACGCACACATGCCGGGTGTGAGTTTTAAGCTGCTGGGTCTGGGACTAGAACTAAGGTTGACTATGTGGGAGTCCAGAGGCATAACCATTACGCCATCTGCTGGTCCCCCCAGTGAGCTTTTAAAGCACTGAGACCCCAGCTGGCACGTGTAAATGCTCAACGCTAGTGACCTGCAGGCCCAGGGAGGTGTTCTGCACGGGGCACGTGCCAGCCCGTGTGCCCCGGATGCAGGCTCCAGTTCCGGGGAGCCAGGCAGAGAGGGCAGAGGCAGCAAGGCATAGCCTGGCCTGCGCAGATGTCCGCCCGCTGAGGGGCAGGGAGTGATGACGGTACCTGATGCCTGGGAAGGCCTCCTCACAAGGGAACCCCTGCCCCCAGCAGCCGCAGGCCGCACGGAAGACAGCGTGGGGCTCCACTGACCAGCTCTCCTGGTGCGACCCTCAGTGTCTGCTGCACTCCAGCAAATCGGGAGGGGACAGACCCACCGAGCCCGACACAGACGGGGCCCCTGGATCACCCCAGGTCTGGAGAATTCCCATCCACACGCATCGCCCATGTGGTCCATGGTGGCCTCTGATTTGGCCATTGGCCCGTTTTACAGCTGAGGGAACAAGGGCCAGGGAGGTGAGGTGATGTCCCCTAGGTCCTAGGGCCACAGAGTGAGCGAGACTTGCTCCCTCACACCGGGAATTGGCATCTGGTGGGGGTGGTGGGCACGTGTCACACAGCCCCATGCGGCTATAACTGTGACAAGTGCCGAGAGACAAGGTGACCAGGGTGCACCCTGGGGGCCCTGGACTAGCAGGTCAGGAAGGGCAGTGCCTGGCCTGGACTCTGGACGGTGACAAAGAATCAGTGAGGAGTGGGAGGGGAACGGTGCCCAGGCAGAGGGAACAGCAGGGCCAAGGCCCAGAGGGAAGGGAGCACCCGGCCAGTCCTGCCTGAGCCCAGCCAGACCCAGCTCCCCGGCCTCCCCCCCGGCCTCACCTTCATCTGCCGCGCAATCTCCTTCTTCTGGTGCAGAATGTATTCCAGGATGGCCTCGCGCTCATACAGGTAGCCGTCTGGCCTGCAGAGGCAGTGGGTGAGAAATGGGTGGCAGGCCACCAGCCAGGGCGCTGATCGAATGCCCGCTCAGCGCCTCGCTCGACGCTTGGCTCAGCTCTCTGAGGGGACGCTGTGCTGTCAGCGTCTCCCCAGAGCTCATAGGCTGGAATGCGGCTGCTCTGTGAAGGTGTAACTGTCGCAAAGGCCCGGCCTGGCCGCGCAGGTGGTGGCCAGCTGGACTGCAGGGCTGGACTCACAATGGCCGACCCACAGGCCAGCCTGAAAACACGCGGGGTGTGTGCACACGCTCCCAGCATCCCGATGAGCTGAGGGGCTGGGGAGGACAGGGTGCGGTGTGACGAGACTGTCCAGGTGTCTCTCTGTCTGTCCCTCTTGCATGTGCTCCGTTTCATAAATGAACTTAAAAAAATTAACAGGACAAGAAGGTAGTCCCCAATTATAGCAAATTTTAAAAACTAATACTAAGTAGGGACCAGCAGATGGCATAATGGTTACATCACTGGACTTCCCATAGTTGACTGTGGTTCAAGTCCCAGACCCAGTGGCTTAAAACTCACACTGGGCTTACGT